TATTTTTCATTTCCAAATATGGATACTGAAGAATGAGATAAACACTATGGTAGTAAAAATATTATGAAGGTACATGAAGACAATATTTACTTTGAAAATAAGCTAATGCTGGTGAAAAAACGGTCTGTCTAAAACATACTATTTGCAATTCAAAATTCTTGTATATGAATTTAGGCGGAAAAGGTTGCCTTGACTAGTATGATAACATTGAGCACTTGGTGTCTGGTGGTTTGGAACTTGGAAAAAGTTGGGAATGTTTATCCATTTTCAAAGGGGAAGAAGTTCTAATGTAAAGTTGCTAGAAAATACCAACACACTACTGCCAGCAAAAACAAATAACATGCACTCACACTGAGCCATGTTGTAGAAAACAATAATGTTAGTACTATTTTTTTAATAAGGCATGGATTAAATAGAGTAAAAATAGTAACTAACAATACTTTTCAATAGTCTAAATCCCAAATATTTAGATATTTAATCTTGTCATTAAAATTATACTCATTAGTTATTAATGCAGCATAAAATATATAACAGTCACATGTAAGTGCACGATTACAATACACAATAAATATTAAGTTTATAAACTTGATATACTTTTACATTTATATTTTTTATGTATATATGGTATATAAACCATGAATGAATGTAAAATTCACATTTTCCCAAATCAATATTTTTAAAATGTTATAGTATTTATTTATTTGCATGTTTTATTTGCTTTTTTATTTTCAAAACATCCTAAAAGTACAAAAGCAATAATGATATCAAGCATGATTAACAGTACTTGGATGGATCGTGGGAGTTTGACCATTTCATTTACAAGTGTCCCCAAACCATGTCCCTGGGGCACAGCTGTGGGGAATAGACCTGATGCCTCTCCATATTGAAAAGAGCCACTTGAGGTTGTTTCAGCATGTGGTTAGGACATCAGTGTAACTTTGTGCTGAACATTCGGGGGTTCAAGATCTCTGTCTAAATAAATAAATAAATCTGCGTAAATTCCCAGATGATTAAACATGCAACTATTTTGCTGGTGATACCTGAAAGGAGTAAAGAAAATAAGCAGCCTATTTATGCAAGATAATTCATAATTTTATAGAGGGGTTATATTGGTTGGGTCTGATTATTGGGGGGGGGGGGGGGGGGGGGGGGGGGGTCATAACCCCTCTGGAAATTACCCCCTGGATTAAGATGCATCCAGGATGATTGCCTTTTCAGATTTTGTAGCCACACCCAAGGTGAAAGATACCTGCAGGAGAGATTATATCTAACCTGAGGAATGCCTTGGGAAGAAGATTAGGATTTAAATTCACTTAATTATTTAAATTACGTATAAAAACCTATTTTTTTTTCTTTCAGTTTGTCTGTGTGTGTGTGTGTGGTGCATGTGTTTAGTTTATAGTAGTGGTTTTTTTACATTTATTTATTGTTATTTGCCCAATATCACTGCATGGTGTATCAGGTGACAATGATTGAATGCATCTCTGCAGCAATTAGGATAAATTGAATCAGTTTGTCTTTTTAATGAAATATTTTTCTTAACCTGTCTAGTTGACTTTTAATCATTTTACTCCAGTCTTACTTTCTCCTTTATTGATTTTAGGCAAATCATTTGTATCATCTGTATTTCTCAGCTGAAAGGAATAAATGGATGTATTCTGTACTGTGTAGCGTGTGTTTGAGAGTGCTTGTGAATGTAGCATAGTCGCACTCAACAAAACTCGAAGCTTCAAGCACAACCAAGTATCTGTATTAAGAGAGCAAGCGATCAAATGGAAAATCATAGAAAATTACAGGGAGTGTTCCAAAATCAATTTGTGTTTGAGGTTAAATGGAAGAAACGTATACAGAAGCAACACAAGCCAAACAAAAGCTGAGATACAATGGGAAGCCACAGCAGAAAATAAATTTTAGGCCGACAACATAATTAGAGCTCCACGAGTATAATGGCTGGTGGATTTTTCTTCACCAAACATTCAGCGCAAAAAGAACTCCTTTATTGTTTGCTTACTACAAAGTCATCCAAGTTTACTCAATCTGAACCCCAAAGCTCTTCCACAAAAGGAAAAAAAAAAAAAAAATCATGCACAGATTGTGTTGGAAGACACTTTTTTTTCTAATCTCTTAACACATACCGTTTTTGTGTGTGTGTGTGTGTGTGTGTGTGTGTGTGTGTGTGTGTGTGTGTGTGTTTCCTCTCAGTGAGCTCTTCTGCCATTGGGGTTCATACAGTATATACCCTCTCAAAAGGCACCCCTTCCTTGCAATGTTTGTGATTAAATATCCACTTTAGTGCACTCCACTGCATCTGCTTCCATTTAATCTAACTTCCACAGTTTTCTATATAGTGTGTGTCTCCCTCAAGAGAGAAGTTTACACTATGAGATGTATGTCCCTCTATGACCTATGTGCTCATTACAACCATAAGTCAGCTAGTGCACGGTTCTTTCAGAGGTGTTACTTGTTGATGTTATTAATTCCACATGAATCATTGTAAATGACTAAAGGGCTGATATACTTAAATTATTGTGTATTATTTACTGTGCATTTACTTTGTCACTGTTCAACTCTGTGCAGATCTTTGCATGCATGCATGCATTTGTGCACATGCGTGTATTTGTGTGTGTGTTTCTGCCTGTCTACCCACTTGGGCTGTTTTTTAATGAATCCAGTATCTCCCTGCATGTTTATTGGCTAATTATGAAAAATGGTTAGACTATATTTCTCCCAGCTACACTGTCACTGTTTTGTCCAAGTCATAGTTGCATACCAATATACAAGTTCTATTTTGTACTTTAAAAAAGTTTTTTAAAAAAAGAAGAAAAATCTAAGACAATAACTAACAATTTAGATTCAGTCCAAACTAGACCCAAAACTATTTCTTGCTTAAAAAAAAATAAAAAAATTATAGTACTCTTCTTTTCTTTCTCTCTTTTACAATCAGTCCATTCAATTTAAACTGCGACACTCTGCAGGGTTGAAGCAGCCGAGCTGTCACAATGAATTTGTGTGCCCTAAACAAGATTAACTACTTCTATTTGTATCCCCATATCTCTGAAAGGGTAATCAACGCAAGCGGTTTGGCTTGCTAATTTTCACCATGGTAACCACTTGCAAAAGCCCATCATAGCAAATAGCTTGATTTTAAAAGCATTTGTACTGTATGTGTGTATGTTTTTTAACATACGTGTGTATTTTCCCGGTCTCACCAAATGATAGAATTAGAGGATAATTCCGATTAGGTTAGGTATTTGATGTTTGGAATGGAATATGTTAGAGATACTATATTAGGTTTCTGGATATCACCAAACATTTTAATGAGCTCGTGTTTCATGTGCAAGGATTTGGACAAATTGTTACTGCTCAGAGATCCCCTCTGAATTCAAATGAAAAAATAGCAAATGATATAAATTACATATTTTTAAAGGGCACTTTAAAGCTTAGGCAATAGAAATATTCCTAGGAACTTTTTATATATGCAGAAATGGAGACAGACCTATTGTTCAAAACGACAAGGGCATGGGACTTGATGGCTGTTTTAATAACATATTGTCATTTTCTGATGGAATCATAAAATCTCCTTTTACTTGTGATTAACATTGTTTCTCATGACTGACTGAAGGAATATCTTATTTTAATGAAAGAAAATGTATATGTGTATGTAAATGTACACTTTAAAAGGCATTTTAATTAAGTATACACCCCATTGTTGAGATTCTGTAGCCTGATCAAAAATGATAATGAGTAACACACACGGGAAACAGGGAATAAAATTTGCTTTAATGTCATTTTATTTTAATATTACATAAATTCTTACACTATATATCATTAGTTATTCAAAAAGTAAATTATCTGCTATTAAGTCCAGTTAGTCTTTTTAAAACATCCTACAAAATGTGCTTAGAGGTAATGTGAAAAATAATGGTTATGGATGTGTGAGGCAGGAGTTTGCTCTGTGAAAATCCCAAGGCCTGAGAAAAGTATAGAAACAGAATCAGAAGGCACGCATACCACAGAGGCCTTTTTTAAGGTCGAGGTCTTTCCCTTCCAGTATCCCCTGAAGCGGACATTAGTATGGTGGAAGACAATGGCAGTCAGAGCAGTTTCAGTTAAAGCTGGTAGCTCCCAACCTGGAGCTTACTTAGTTGAGGCAGCACAAGTGCAGGGACTGTCCAACACTGTGAAACCATTGCCTAACCATATAAGGGCCTGAAGGGAAAGAATGCAGTCCACTGGTGCTTTTTCATTTGTCAAAAATGCATCCCAAATGTTGTGTTAAAATTCTAAATGAAGAGTCATGTTTAGCATATATTTGAAAAGGACACCAGTTTAACAGACACCCAATTTGATGGTTGGGAAGTGAGCATTCACTGTCTTTTATTACTCTGTATATATTTTGTCATGTAGGTAAATCCCAAAAGTTCAACTTTGTGAGGTTCAAGACGGTTTTAAAGCAGTAGAT